TTTGTAGTAGTGGTAGTGGTAGCAGTAGTAGTAGTAATGATAGTTGTAGTAGTGGTAGTGGTAGTAGTCGTACTAGTACTAGTTCAAACACTCGACAACGCCAATCTCTGTGAAGGGTTGCAAGTTTCACCTCAATGCACATCAAAAGTAATAATTTTACCTCGCGTTCGAACACTCGACAACGCCAATCTGTGTGAAGGGTTGCAAAATTCATGTCAATGCACATCAAAAATTGCAACTTTACTTCGCGTTCGAACACTCGACCACGCCAATCCCTGTGAAGGGTTGCAAAATTCATCTCAATGCACATCAAAAAATGCAACTTTGCCTCGCGTTCGAACACTCGACCACGCCAATCCCTGTGAAGGGTTGCAAAATTCATCTCAATGCACATAAAAAATTGCAACTTTACCCTGCGTTCGAACACTCGACCACGCCAATCCCGGTGAAGGGTTGCAAAATTCATTTCAATGCACATCAAAAAATGCAACTTCACCTAGCGTTCGTGCATTCGACCATGCCAATCCCTGTGAAGGGTTGCAAAATGCCAATCCCTGTGAAGGGTTGCAAAATGCAGCTCAATGCACCCAAACCCTGTGAAGGGTTGCGCGGCGCCCGCAAAATGTGTAACTTTACCTCGCGTTTGAACGCCCGAGGATGCTGCCCTGCAAGGCAATGCAACACGGCCAAGCAAACCACAAAAAAAAAAATGCCAAAAAAAAAAAAAATCCCAAACTAATTCCAGACCCAAAGAAACGCCAGCCATGATGAGTCGCAGCTGCGAGCTAGAGACAGGCCAGACAAGGTCCCGGTGGAGCCCAGTGTTCTGTTTCTGCAGCTGATGTCTGCTTTTTGCCTTAGGCAAGCTGAGTGCAAGTCAAGTTCTGATGCAGCAGTAAAGAGTGGAGCCAACAAAGAAGACCTGGCCACGCTGCAAGGCTTGGGCGGCCACGGCTGCAGCCCTCAGAATTGTCATCGAGATCTCTGCAGGCTGCCTGCCTCTCTTCAAGAATACGCTGGGGCCACAGCCGACCTACATCACCACAACTGTTCAAGTCAAGCAGGGGAACGGAGATGTCAAGGTGCAGTCCGAATCCACCACCTTGCTGTTGCCACACTTGTGGGTGGAGTCTTTCACTGAGACTCGGCTGCAAAATAAGTTTTGGGAATGTTTTGGGTGATGGCAACTGTATTGGGTGAAGTGGTTTGTTTAAGTTTTTCTTCATGATTTTTGTTTTTGCCTGGATAGGCATGGGCTACTTCATGATTTTTGTTTTGCCTGGATAGGAATAGGCATGGGCTTCTTCATGGTTTTGTTTTGCCTGGATAGGCATGGGCTACTGGAGAGCATCACGGATGAGCTGGATGAGTTCTGGAAGAAGCATTATTTTGCAAAGAACCCACAGTTACTGAAAGACCGAAACTTCTGGAGGAGCATCAACTGGGAGGCAGAGAAACCCAGGGGGATCACGCCAGCTACAGTGAGACTGATTCCATGATGGTCGTGAGCATCAGATGTATCTTGAGCAACAGATCAATAAAGACATCTGAGCTCCTGGTGGGGTGCCTTCCGAAGCAGTGTAACGCAGAATCCTGCCCACCACTATGGAAGGCGATCGCCGAGAGCTTGACATACTTAGCCAATGGAAGGACCGAGGACAGTAGATGAAAAGATGCATCGTGATGTCTATGTCTGGTGATCTGGAATGGTTCGGCCAGAAATTCGCCTGGTCAACCTCGAGTTCCAATGCTGTCTGCCCGTATTGCCAGTGCGACAATCTCTTTGATGACTCCAAGTGTGTGGCTCCCTCAAATCATTTCAGGGCCGATGCGAAATGGCGGTCTTTGCGGAATCAGCCACCACAGAACGATCATGCCCTTTTACCAGGTATCAACTGCTGGTCATTGAAGCTTGACCTCCTGCACCTCTGCGACCTGGGAACAGCTGCCCGCCTCTATGGCAGCGTGGTGAACGACTTAGTTACAGAGCACTTGCCGGGCAGGTTCCCTGAAGCCTTGGGCCTTGGAGGCCTTGAACAGCCAAATCTCCGAGCTGTATGGTGAGCTGGACATACCGAGCGCAAGGCGAATCCCCAAGCTCGTGAAGTCCCATGTTTTTCCCAGTCCTCCTACCCGTGTTTAAAGCACATGAAACGAAGGAGGATCCGCTATTTTGCAGATGTGGCTGTGAAGCTTTGTGGACTCTGCAACGTCTCTTCGAAGGACAAGCACCGGGAAGCAGCATGCAAGGCCATGAAGATTAGAGGAAGGAGCAGAAACTGTTTGATGCAGCCATCGAGAAGTACCTGGGTCACTACCAGTGGCTGGCACAGCATGCCTACGTTCAGGGAAAGTATTAGTACAGTATCGTGCAGAAGAAGCCTTTGCTGGCCCAATATGGTGAACAAAGCAATTTTATGGCTCCGAGGGCTTCTTGGTGCCACGGCCCCGAAAGCTTCCTGAGCATAGCATTCCTGTGACAGAGGAACACCTGCCTGGAAGATGGCAGAGAAGATCTGTGTAAAGTTCTGCCTGAGCTACGAGCTTTTGCTGAAGCGCTGGCTGAGCCTGGAGTGAAAAGAAGTGCTGCAGACGTGTTGTGGTTTAGGATGTCTGGACAGACATGCTAGGGCCTACTAGGGTTTAGGATGTCTGGAAAGACATGGAAGAGCTTAAGGTTTAAGATGTCTGGACAGACATGTTAGGGTTTAGGATGTCTGGAAAGACATGGAAGAGCTTAAGGTTTAAGATGTCTGGACAGACATGTTGTGCTTCAGGATGTCTGTAAAGACATGGAAGACATGCAGCAACATTTGTGACTTCGCAGCCTCCTTGTTCAAGGGACCCCAAGGGAGCAGCTTCCTCTTAGAAGGCCGGCAATGAACGTGGGGATTTTGGGCGACGATGAGGTTTTCGCCCGTGTGCTTGGCAAGCTTATACATCAAGAGGAAGTTCCCCAGAAATCCGCGAGATCCTTGCTCGTGATGTGGCGGAGATCCTTCGAGGACTGCGAGACTCTTGGCGATACAGTAGACTCAGTATAGACAGCCCTATTTCTTGGAAGGTCTGCTTTAGAAACATACAACACTAAGGGAGGACACCGTTCTGAACTTCTTGGAGTACAGGATGTACAAGATCGAGGCAACCATGGAGAGCAAGGCGGACATGCCAGAAGCTGCGAAGCATGTGCTGCAGAAGGCACATACTTACATCAGGTGGTTGCTCAGCGATCAGTCTTTCGCTTTCGGCCCGTGAAGAAGGGTGCCGTGCTGCAAGACAATTCATCAGTGCTGTGGAAAAGGTGCGAAGCTTTGAGGGTGTGTGTGCATATACAAAATATATACACATATACATATATACATACAACAGGATATGATAGGATAGGATTAGATATAGGATAGGATATGGCATGATATGAAAAGACTATGATGTCATATGGTATGTATATCTATATATATGTATATGAACACAGCATGTTCGCATGATTCCTCGGTTGATCTTATAGCAGCTCCTCGCTTGATTCCTCGATTGATTTTATGATACTTATACGCTTGATTCTTCGCTTGATTCCACGATATTCCACGATTGATTCTTCGCTCGATTCCTCGATTGATTCAACATGGACTCCCATAAGGTCGTTTGCTTGATCTCGCGATTGATTTTGGAAGTAAATCATTCTACGCTTGAAACAGACCTGCACCTTAATCTCTGGCATTGTGTCAAATGTCAAGAGGAGTTCTTGATAAACATCCCCAGACAAACCTCCACAATTTATTGTCAAAAAGCGCACATATGGGCCTGTAGGCAGGTCAGCAGAGAGGCGAGGACGTGTCTGTGGGGCAGCAGTGTCTGACAGTGTACGGTATTTGTTCCTTAAAGCTTTTGCCGCCTGCCTTTGTATGTGGTGCCGCCTTGACCAGCAGTAGGAGTTGGAGTTGGATAAGGAGTAAGGAGTGAGGAGTAGGAGTGGGTGAGAGTGGGGGTGGGAGTGGGTGTAGGAGTGCAGGAGTGTAGGAGTGTAGGAGTGTAGGAGTGGGAAAGGGGTCGACCCTCACCATAGGCGTTTCGTGTGTACAGAAGGTTGCTTTTAGCGCCTTTTCCTCATTGCCAAACACTGTGCAGTTTCCGTCGGTTGTGAACAGATGACTCTGGCGCGGGGGGGGTTTTGAAAGAATACGACATACGACCCCAAAGACCCAACGGAGAACTAGGCAGAGGCCCTCCAGAGGTAATCGTTCAGATCCCGTTTGTTTCACTCCAGAAATCAAGCTTCGGACACCTGGTTCCTTACAGAGTTGGCTGGGTTTAAGCACGTTTTTCTTTCTGACTGTTGACAACACATGTTGCAATTCCTCCACAACACGTCATCCGGTTGTTGTTGAAAAGGGACTTGTTCATGAACCGTTCAAAGCCATGGAATATGAATATGTTAACATGGCAAGTACAGGCGAACGGTAGACAAGGCTTCGACATGGCAATCGTAGCTGCTAGAGTATTTTGCGTCATTTTTCTTTGTAAGTTTCGTACGTGCGAACGTGAATGCCCAATGCCAGGCCCAGGCAGGGCTTCATCGGTTGCAGTAACAGTATGGAATCATTGGCTCTTGTTCGAGACATGTTGCCATACTTTGGCGATGTGATAATGACAAGTTGGAAGATTCGACCTGACATGTTCCACCCGCTCCAGATGAACAAATTGAGATGCATTTTGTATACTTTTCGGCTCATGCACCAGACCCAAACACATGATTTGAGCCTTTCGAAACAGGTGTTTTACGGCTGTTTCTTATGCCTTAGCAGCATTAGCACGATTAAACATGCCGTCTTATGCCCGCCATCATACGGGCCGGTAGCACCCGGCGCCGCGCCTAGGAATGGGCAGTCGGCCCGGCTGACCCATGGCTTGGCCTGCATATAAGACGGGCTTTGCGCCCAGAAGGTACACGCCAAAACACCATCGTGCTTCGTGTGTTCTGCGACAGGCCCTCGAGCCTCTGCATCATGACGCCGAAATGGCCTGAGTGTTCTTCATTTCTTGATACACCTGCCAAGTTACCTTGGCTTCCGCAGGCCCAAAAAGGGCAGCATGGGAGACCTGGTTGCGAATTTGGCCGCCGGGACGCTCACAGGCACCCCGACACACGAAATTGCACAGGCTAGCGACAACATTCTTGCTTCATTAGAGCCAGTTAGAGCCTTCAAAATTAAATGTTGCAGAGTATACCTGGATTTTCACTCGTCAGGCTGAACGGCAAGATTCGGTACAGAGTCTTTTCCCAGTAATATGTGCGTGCCGAATTCAATGTTTGGGATCAAATGGTGTTCAGGCATGACTACAAGCTCTTTCAGCCATCCCATGGACACATTGAAATCACGCTGGCAAGTGGTTCGCAGCTTAGCCAGGCTCTGCATCATATGTTGTCATCTTTTTGTGAAGTGGACAAGTGTTGCGTGCGGCAGACATGAAGACGATTCCAAAGGCGTGCCGGACAACGACAAGGCAGTGCCTCGGTAGCATTGGGAATGTGGCGAGTTGTAGGCGGATCCGATCAGAAATATTGTCATGTATTGAACGACGCGGCAAATCGGGTGGTTCTTGGTCGCTTAGGCGAGCAGGTGTCGAGTTGAGTTGGTGCCAGATCAACTGTTGGGAGCAGGGCTTCCTCCAAGCTTTCCTAACATTTGTGAACCTCCGTTGGCTGCATCAGCTTCGGAAATGCTTCACCGCAGCTAAGGACTTGCTTTGGATTTGCGAGAACTCTTCTGTTGCAGGTCTCCCTAGCGAGCCTTCATTGCAACGGTTCCTCTTTATTGTCGTGCACTTTGCCAGGAGGGCTTGTGGATGGGACTATGGAAGCGCAGAGCTCGCGAATCTCGATTCTTCAAAACGCGGTTGTTCTGAGCACAAACACAGAAGGCCGGGGCTTGCAGCCAATGTGGCTTCAATGGGCTGCTGTGTTGGTATGAGGCTGGAAATGTTTTTTTGCTGCATGGTCTTTGCCATAATTAACCCGTGCGACATTTCACTGATTTCGACTGATCACAGATCAGCATTTGCACGAACATGAAAGGAACGGGCTCTACACTGTCTTCCGTGATGGCATAGGCTTTGACCTAAGACGCTAGAGACATCGCACCGTCACATGTTCGAAGACCAGAACAAGAGCGGTGAAGAACACGGCTCTTTCAATCCAAGACGTTTGAGGTCACTTCGAAGACAGAGCGTCCGGCATCCCACCCAGTGCGGCTGGCAAGGCGAGCAGTAGCACGGATTGGATTGGGTGAGACCGTTAATCTGTGCCTGCTCACAGCACAGTGACACCGCCAGGCTGGTCCAGTGGCAATGTTCACCGCCGGACTGTTCTCTGGCATGCCGGCATCTGAATTGGTAGGAAGTTCAAAGGACAAAAAGTTGTGACAGACGCATCGTGGTGGATCAGGGCCGGCTATATCATCACAGCACCACTGCTGCAGGTGGAATATGACGCAATTTTGTTTCATGATGCGTTCTTCTTGCATAGGATTGCTTCAGAAGTCTGTAACTCATTTGTCGGGCTTGGGCTTGTGGGGCGGCCTACCCCGTGCCACTTCGGATCACCACGCATCCCCGTGAACAAGTCGTCTTTCCTCGCAGAAAGGGCCCTCGTCCCTCGTTGATGCACAGCAGGTGAAGACACGGATGCAAGCGGAAGCTGGGCGAATTGGCCCTGTGATCTCCTGAGTCGCCTTCCGCACAGCAAGACAGCAAGACCAGACAGAGGACACATGTCGTGTCGTAAGGATGGGCGATACGTTACCGGTCTTCGTCGTGGGCATGCACCAACATATCGAAGCACATTTCAGGCCTTGCCAGTAGGCAAACACGAGAGATCACAGTGCTCGCGCCCCCTCTTGGCAGGCTCTGCATGCTTTGGCATCTGCAAGATGCTTCCTAGCGCGCAGTAGAAAGGACGACCCGGAAACCTGCCAATGTGTCAACCCAGGCCCCCATGAAAGGATGCGATCCTTGTGGAGAGGAGCTGGTGTGGCAGGAGTCTCAGATATTTTAAAATCAGGGATTTTCGGACAACGGGGGGCCGAAGCATGTATCTGCAATCAGAGACGAAGAAGCCTTAGCCCATTCTTTATGACCTCCACTGCCATGCAGAACTAAGATCGTGGCACGCGGTGCTGCCCTTTCGGGCTCTCAGCTCATGGCGTGCGCTCCCTAGGTGCTTTTCGAATTGGGATGTGTCGTAATCAAAGATCTGGCTCACGGTGACGCGGATGGTTGTGTACCTACCCTGCTAGCTTCCACAACAGATCGGGTGCCTGAGGCACCTTCAGCAATGCAAACATCCAAAACATAGTCGGAGGCTGGTGTATACGGAAGAGATCAATGATCACTGAATTACTCAGTGCGCAAGCGGAACGCAGACACAGACACCGAGCGAAACTCAGGACAGGCAGGGGAGGTAGATTCACCAACACACACTGGTGTAGATGGCTTCTCCGCCTCGCAGCGATGGACATGCGAAGTGGCTGTCCGGAAACGCCAGCAAGGACGAGAGCTCAAGTGCTCATGCGGTCTTCCTTTCACAGCGGCTCAGCCGTTGACGACTGGTTTCTGAGAGCTAAGGACGGCCTCCGTGATCTTCTTTGCGGGATGATGTCTGGCTTCGTGTGCCGATTCCGGGGCTGCTTTAGCGTCCTTTCTGACCGGCCCCTCTAGATCCATGATGTGGGTTTGCAGGTGCAAGATCGTGGAATATCCCGCAGATACTATCAAGGCTCCAGCGGCTCCGGGCTCCGACTTCCAGCTGTTCTGCCCGTGATGTCGTCGCAGGTTCTGGAGCAGACCAGCGGTGGACGCTTCAGCGGACCGGTCGACTGCTTCCGGAAGACGGCCAGCGACTTGCAGTACTGCAAGACAGTGCTGGCGGTACTGGACATGCAGGCGGCCACTTCGGGCATTCTGTCCCTCTACCAGGGCCTCGGCGCACCCCTGCTGGGGTAGCTCGGCGGTGGCACTGTGGTTAAACACAGGTAGACAATGTGCACTAGCTGCTGCTTGTTTTTGTTCCTTGCTCATCGGAGGTCCATGGCCGAGAATGCCAGTCTCTTCGTGTCGTATGGATACATAAAGAAGGCAGCCGCATACATTTCAGGTCAGAAGAGCCTTTGCAAAGAGTTTGCTGCCAGGTCCTCTCCGTGGATGAAGTTTCTCACTTGCAGAGCCTCTCGTCCTTGGTCCATGCGCGGTTCAACGTCTGACCCAAGGGAGGGGCCACGCTCGCCAACCCCATTCCCTTCTGGAAGCTGATCTTGGCAGGCCATTGATGGCTGTTGTAATTGAAATTTGCCACAATGGGGCTATGTTGAAAAGACTGTCTGGACATGTGCAGGCGGTGGCAGTGGTTTTGCATCCACCTGCGTGCTGACGCCGGTGGAGCTGATCAAATGCAGGCTGCAGGCAGGCAGAGGGTTGCCTGTCACAAGGCAACCTGAGCTTTCTTGTCACGTGGAGGCACAGCTCAGCAACACGCATGCTGAGAGGGTTTACAGGCACGCGCCGTCTCGACTGTTGCATTCCTGCGATTGCCGTGTTCTGACAGGGGGCCAGTGGACTGTGTTGTTCGCACAGTGCGAGAAGACGGTTTGACGGGCCTGTGGCGAGGCAATCTGAGCACGTCGCTTGGATGCAGTAGAGCCATTGCCCACCTCCAGAATTGTCGGCTGAAAGCTGTGCGTGGAGCCAGGCTTATGCGAGAAGTGCCTGGCAATATGGTAGCCGCCCTGAGCTCCAAGCTCTACCTGCATTGCTTCCCGTGTATTTGGCCACTGGCTTTGTCAAGGCTTGGTTCGGCGTTTATGAGGGTGCCGACGGCCCAGAGTCTAAGAAGCAATGCTTGAGATCACGATGCTTGCTTGTGTCCTGTATGCTCGAGTTGGTGGAAGGTCATGAGGACGGTGCAGACAGTCAAGCGGTACGATAAGAAGAAAGACGTCCCGCTTTTGTGGTCTGCCTTGTCTGGTTCCTGTGCCGGTGCTTTGGCTGCCAGACTGATCACCTTTACACCAATGCCCAAGCTAAACAGCTAGCTCCTCTGCAAAACCAGACTCAGGTGTGGCATACTGGGGTGTTCCTTACCCGGCAGACACGGCTGCAGCCTTGTTGACAGAGTGATCCGATGTGTCCTTCACTGCCTTTGAAAGCTCCAAGGTCAAGTCGAAAATTCAGACTGATCCACGATTTTACGGGCAGTCCTTCATGACAGTGTTTCGCAAAGTGCTGAGGCATGCTTCGTAAAGCGAGAAACCCCCATTTTTCTTAGTGGCCTCTTTAACAAGAACCGCAACTTGGTGCAGGGAAGAAGGTATCTCCGGCCTTTACCGTGGTTGCGGCATCACTTGCTTCCGTGCCGTCGGTGGCCTAGCAAGGCTATGCAAAGGCTATGTTCAAGGCTTCAAGGCGGTGCTCGTCTGCTGAAAGAAGCTTCTCAAAGCCTTGTGGCTCCAAGGTTCCATCTCACGCGCTAATCTTCTATGTCTACGAGATGGCAAACAGGTTTCTGCTGAAATTCTAGCAGCTGCAAGTGGCCTTGGCCGCCTTGGCCCGGCTCTGTAGGCGCTTCTGACGCTTTCGTGTACATAAGATGACGAATATTTCAGCCTGCAAAGTCCGAGCTGAGCAAGTTGTAGCTCTGCATCCTCAGTTCGGTGCGTACCCGTGGTAAAAGCAAGTTGCGTCTTTTGTCTGAGCTTTCGATAAAGTTGAACACGATTGGAGGAAATACCTTTACAAGTGTGTCCCATAGGCCCATCGTTGCCGTTTGTATGTCTAGCCCGTGGGCGAATGCCCGCTTTGCAATTCGACAGCGAGAGTATCTCTAGATCTGTACTCTGTCTCTAGCAAGCCTGAATTTGGTACTGTACCTGCAGGACATGACCCTGTGCGTATGCCGCATGCAGGCTTGTGTCTGCGCTGTGGATTTTGAGCCAGCTCAGTTGACATTTTTGTTGAGGTACGATGCCTTCAAAACGATGATGAAGGCTTACAGTTTGATGGAGGATGGCCGGCTCCTCTGATGATAAAGCAGGACGACCATCTCCTTCTTACACCGCCGATGTTTCATCCACGGGATTTGGATCCATTCATGATGCAGCTTATGGCTTATGCATTGGAGCATGCGGCAGCAGTCCTCATCAATACATCGTACAGCTTTTTGCCAATCTCTAGTTCATAGACAATCGAGGCAGAGGGAAGATCAAGATTACAAGTATTTAAGACTGCATTGAAGCAAGAGGCTTCTGAGCTAGACTTCCTACCTTGTCGTGGCATGGCCCTTTTTTTTGGGAGGTCAGGGTGGTACGACGAGCATGAGAATCAACAGGTGCGAGGCGGTAAAGCGGGGTCTGAAGGCGCAAAGTGAGATGGTCTTCCAGGAAGAGGAGGATGAAGAGCGGCATCCAGATCCGGAGCAAGTCCAGCGCCCGCGGCCTCAATGCATCCTCCGGAAGCTTTGGCAGCAGATAGACGCATCCGGATGTGTCGCATACAGTGGAGTCTTGTAAGGAATGGCAAGTGGATGGAGGTGTGGCCCGAACACTGGGGCATGCGAATGCATCAAATACGGGAGCTCCTCAACTCCTGCAAGGCGGGCACAACGGGCAGGCAATGTGAGGGTATTCTTTTAGTTCCGGGCTTCCCCACTCAATATTTTACGATGCACAGCCGACTTCGGACTTATGCCGTGTCTCAACTATCACAACCAGCAAGCCAGGTTGCAAATCGAGGGGTTGTTTCAATTCTGTCGGAGCAGCTTTGCCAAAAGCCGCATGTGGTCAGGAGGATGTTCACTGGCACCAGAGCCATTCTGTTCGAGATATGGTGAATCAGCACCTGCTTCCTCGAACAGCTGGCGAAGGAGTCGGCCGCTTGGCGGAAGATCCGCTTACCGGGCGCTCGATGTTTGAAGTTGTTTGTAGATCACTACGCTGTGCCACCAAGGTTATGCTGTGAAAATCAATCGTGAGTCACCCTTGGAAGTAGATGTTCTCATATCCCACTCTTGGAACGAGAATGCGGAGGCCCGGAAGAATGAGACAGGACAGACGCACTCCCATCGTTTCCAAGTCATTGTCAGGAGTTCGTGGATACCCTCGAGCGGACTGTCGATCCCGAAGAAGTCCTGTTTGTTTGTGCTTTCTCAATCTACCAAAATGAGGCGCAGAACGCACGTAAACTAAAACATTTCCAGTTTTCGGATACATAATACATACTAGGTTTCCATTTGGGATAATTGTTCATTTGCCTTATTGTTTGGTATAGAGCTCTAATTATACACAGTTTTGGTGACTGTTGAAATCGTCACCCAGCATGGCAGTAGGATCGTGCCAGGACGATGCGGGACCTAGCATCGCCGAGCAGATCGGATCCTCCACGCAGCACAGCCCGTTTGGGCGGGTCTTGTCGCACATCCAGGCTGCCTTGACTTAGGTGCCTTGTTGTTTGTGGCAAGTCTTCTTACCACTGAGTGTTGGTCGGTGACGGAAAGCGAGCTTGACCGCGAGCGGAACGTGGTAACCAATGTCGGGTGGGGGGGAGGTTTGGGAGGAGGGTGTACCCCACTTTACAACCGGAATCCACGCGACAGCCATTCCGCTGTTGGGGATGTTCAATGGGATTGCTTGATGCCTCTATCCACTCGAAGATGACCGGGAACTTACGGGTGCTCCCTTCGTTTTCAACGGAGGCTTCGGCCACTACGCATTGTGTTTCTCAGCCAAATCGGTATTTGAACCAGTGGCGGCAGCCCACGAGCTGCTTCGGAAGATTTCCGCAGGCGAACCTGGGGACCAAGGCCACGCCCACACCTTCGAGAGGATGGCCAATGGCCGCGAACTTCCCGTGCACGTCAACCACACAACTTTTTCCTGTGCATTGAGTTTAATGCAGAGGAGCTTACCTCAAGTCCGCTGCCGCCCGTGTTCCCGGATGCTCCTGTGCAGAATTTTCCAGTGCATTTTCATTGCTGAAACTTTGTTCTGGGACTGTTTATGCCCCCTTCCACACAAGTCAGTCCACCCGAAAGGGCTGCTGACGAGTGAATTTTTGACCGATCGCTCGTGCTGTCGAACAGCGTGGAGACACAGACGCGACCGTCACAACATCAGTCTCACGGATGAGTTGTGAGGGATCATGATTCTTCGCAGGCGCGTGGTGCAAGTGCGGCTTTCTGGTGGTGGCCACGCCGCACGTTCTACATGTTGCCAGGCGACCCGCCACCCGAAGTTTGAGAAGATTTTGCTACGGAGCAAGCTTTGGGCTCTTTTTTCTATGTAGGAGTATGAGAACGAGCCGATTATGATGTAACATACGATGCGTTTGAGGTATGGAAGCGTGACATCCATTGCATGCGAGCTTGAGCAATGAAGGGTAGCACACACAGGATTGTTCAAGGATTTGCGATGTGCTGCCAGGCTTATGTCTGCTGTTGGCGCTTGAGCTCTTTATGGTATCTCAACTTCTTTGCGGCGGAGTGGCTGGAATAGAGAAACTTTACATCTTGGTGACATGGCTGTATGCGGTAGATGCGAGATTTTGCCCATGGCTTCACAAAGAGTGTTCACATGCGTGGCATGCAGGGAACGCTCAAACTGGTTGAAATGTCATCAGGAAGTTGCTTCTGACAAGTACTGCAGCAACTGGCGGGAGGGCAAAGGCACATGTTTGGCGAGTCACTGGGTGCCCCGGTTTGGAAAGACGCAGATTTTCCCGGCAAAACTTTCTGCGTTAAGTTTTGCATTCGTGTCGTTGTGCAGTGCAGTTTTTGTGTAGTGCCTTATCTCTACCTCTTGGCTGATCATTCTGGCGAGCAAAGCATTGGTTGCCAGCTGATCAAGCCACCTCAGAGAGAGTTTAATTAGCCACAAATCCCTTGCTGCGCAGACTCGTACACGTTTTGCGATCCGTCATCGAGTTTCCGGCATGAAGCATCACTTTTTCGATTCAAGTCATGTTGTGCAAGACCTATGGAAGCAGGACTGCCATTTTCAAAGGCCCTGATGCGCAATTCACGCAATAACAGGATTGGGCAAGTGAGCCAATCCTAACGAACCGTCGACTCAGACTTGCGAGCCGACACAGGCGCCACCCTGCCTTGCGTGTCACAGGAAGTATTTAGATGAGGCAGTCAAGCGACCACGGTGAGGGGTAGTACATGCCCCCGTGTCCCGAAAGCTCAATCAGGGCTGCGACCATTGCCTTGTTTGTTCCTTCTTCTGTGGCGGTCGCCACCTGGAATTCTTGATGTTCATTCTGTTTTCTATTTGGAGATTTTGGAGGTTCGCGCATGGCTGCTTCCCATGAGTTTCCCATGTCAATGTTGAGAGCCGGTGCATTCTTGCACAGGTCGTCGCTGACCTGGACGGATACTGTGCTGCCACCTTCCCTTTGGTTTGGAGTCTGGTGCTCTTTGGCATCATTTTGGAAGTGGCCCTGCGCTGCGTGTCTCCCTGGGTCTACAGCGGCCGAGCCTCCTTCATTGTTTCAGAGATACTTTTGACAGTTATTAAGCAGTATAGAATTCGTTCGCATCGTCTGACATGTGCTTCTTGGGCGTCATACAGATGGCGAACTCCGAAAAGTCTCAAAGCGTCACCGATTGCGGAGGCATGGTGGCAGTGCCAAATTACCAGGACAATCTTTACCAGAGGCCAGGGATGGGCCATTCACGTTTAATCTGTAAACCGATTGACATTAGCACATTGTTACATTCCTCGGAGATCTGGCATTTAAACAAGCTTGTTCAATCATTTCTGCTGTTGAAACGAAATGATTATTTCAACATACTCCTAGGAAGCATTGCATGTAAAGATCTTAGCAACGAGTGGCATCAATATTTGCACATAGCTGTCCGACCTGGCACCTGGGCGAAGCCCGAAGCGCTTTCTCCGGGCGTTTAAGCCGTTAAAACCCTACGTCTACATGCGTTTACACCTTTCATGAGAAGTGACTTGTCTGGAGCGGTGGCCGTGGGGTTCCAACATGGTTCAACGCAGTGTGGTTAACACGTTTAAGCGTTCCGGGAGATGTGAATGGCATGTGAGAGGACGAGTGAAGGGAATGCTCTTAGCCCGTGGGGTTCAAAAATGTTTAAGTGTTTTTGTGTTTGTAAGCATCTAAACGTTCCACGAGAGTGAATTGTTTGGGAGACGACGAGTGAGGCTGAGGTCCAGAACATAGAGTCTTTTACATGGAGTTCGTCTAAACAATTTAAACATAGGTTGCCGCACATTGGAAAATGTGCAAATGTTAACACGGGCTGGTTTAAACCGTTTAACCGCAACCCCTCGCCCAGGCTGTGGTGTGTCTATGTATCTTGGCGATTCTTTAGATATCTCCTGAAAGCCTATGTAACAGCTCAAAATTCTTGTCAGTTCATCCACAGGCCTGCTTCCACCGAGCCAAAGCCTGACTGAGGAGATATTCATGGCCAGTCAGCTCAACGTTTATGTCTCTTTGGCACACACACTGGCTCCAGCTGGCAAAGTCCATGCCCGGAACGCCGGTTGCTCCAATGCTGACGACGAGGCCCACTGCAGACGAGAACCCAAGCCCAATCAAACACAGAGTGTGTCATTCCGTAGCGTTGTGTGGCTGATGGCAGGCTCGGATACGCAGGGAGATTGAGTCCTTTGGAGCTAGAGTCCGTGCAAGGTGCTGTGGATAAACTTATAAACGGGCCATGCTTGCATCCCACCGCTTGTGTGATTATCCACAGGTCCAAGTCCAAGCTTTTCGAGCGCCACGGCACAGACTCGGAGGAAGCTGCAGCAGAGGAGGGCTACCGGCGCGTAGATGCCTCCATCACGTGGACCACGACGCGTGCGAAGCGGGCCCCTCGCTGCAGCACAGCGCATGTACACAGAGAAAGGACAAGGACACTTGTCAGAAGCTCATCCGCTGCAAAGCTCAGGAATGGCTGCTGGTCATCCTTCGTATCATACTGCTGGGTACTGCGCTGCAAGGGAGCGTTACTGTCCTCTCCCTGTCTCTGGGCCTGAAAAAAAGATACTTCGCTCTGGGCCCCTTGCATGGAAGTAAGCTTTTCGGTCGTGCGGAGTCTATGGCTGAACCTGTACTGTTTGTGCATCTTGCTTGCATACTCGAGGCTATATTTTCGCTTTCTTCCTGTACATGGCTCTCATGTGGTCCATTCTGCGGCGCACCGGATGTATTGAACGCCGGCACCTGCTGCTCTTAGGGATGCTGCCTTTTTTGACTGGTGTGATGCTCGTCGTGATGGACACCTGGTCTTGTTAGGACATGTTGCGTTGCTTTGTTTGGATTCAAGTATTTTTCAGTTGTGAATCTTGATAGCCGCGGGCGAGCAACGAAACCAGGCTGACCTGGTGGCGCCCGACTTTGAAAACCACAGCATGGATGTGCCGGCGATGCAGAGTGAGAACTGGGACCCCCCGCTTGGTTCAGAGGATCTGTGTTCAACACAAGCTGAGGTGGTCGCTGCGATGGGGTTCGTTTTCGTCATGCACGACGGCTGCAGCAAGATCTAAAATGACCTCGAATTATTAAGAAACTCTCCTAACAGAATGAGCGGTAAGGAAAAGAACAAATTCAAATTTAACGGAATACAACAAATGAAAGGTGGAGAAATGCGTGTTTATTTCGTTATATAATTTAAATTTAGGTCCTTGTTCGTTGGTTCGGTGGTGTCCTTGTGTTTTAATCAAACTAGCACACGCACTTCCCTTCTCACCGGTTCGTTTGTTGCGTTGTTTAATGAGAACACACCACCTGCAGCAACCCCTTCAAGATTCTACCATTAGATTCCAGTTGTAGAAAGATCTCATTGGGATTTAGTTGTAAGCATACAGGAGGCATGTAATGATAAAGGACACAACTAAATCCCAATGGCTCACTCTGGTTCTTGCTTCGTTTAACTTAAAGCAATTAAGCATGCTTCCTTTCAGCCATTATCTTCTTTGTATAAATTTAAAACGCCGTACCATCGTGAGTCTTTCTACATCTAAGCACCAGACAGAATTCGGGGGTGGCACAATTACGCTTTTGGGAGCCAGCAACTCCATTTTGGAAGTTTGTTTTGACGGAAGTGAGATTCTGCTTCGACGAGCCCTGATATCACTTGGATCCTAAAATGCAATTTTTGGCTTCTGACTTTGCTTCAGTTCATGTCAGGAAAAGTCCGGCAAGTGTGCCAACGTTGCGACAGAGCAGCTATAGGCTGTCGCTTTTCCAGGTTTGGCGTCTCCAGCCTGTTTCTGCCGCTGACCAGGACAGTCTGCGACAGTGACTCTTGCATTCACCATACACAGATACTTACATCAACAGCAGTAATGGTCTTCATGCGTGTCAGAGTGTGAACAAACAGTCATCCCCACGCCTCGCTTGCATTCGTCGAGAGAAGACTGTCCACGAAGTCCATGTACGGCAGGATACGGAAATTCCGCAAGAATTGGCGACCTGCATTCCTGTGTATGGTCGGTGCACTGACATGGCTCGGATTCTATGCAACTCGACTGTATTGGAACGCCTACGTCAGAAGGACCTTTCGATGCACTGTGCTGATAAGCTGCCGAACTTGTCAAAGCATTCAGTGAGAACAGGGCAGAGAAGCAACGGTATCCAAAACTCTGATCATCCCAACGCATTGCAAAGGAGGTGCATGAAGCGAGGGTGCACTAAGTGCACTATGACCTGTCTGTAAGCTTGAGGATCTCAAAGATCTCAGGTCTCCTATGCCATCTACTTTCGCAGACCTGCGTGGACCCATGGTCCGAACATCGACATTGTGGGATATTATGAATGTTTTTCTGTCGAACTTTCCAAGAGCCCCATCTCCAATCGGGCACCTGGGTACAGGAGCTTCCAGACTTTGGACGTGAACTTTGCGCCAGCTCCCGAGCTTTCGAACGTAGCTAGTGACCTAGTGTGGATGTCTGCGAGTTTTCGGGTTTCGATTCTAGGTTTTCCTTTACGTGCATGCGGGAATGGTGACCGACGGAATCTGCTCGGGGCTGGCACGGTTTGGACTTCGGGCAACAAGGTTCCAGGGTGTTTGTGCTGATGTTGGGTTTTTGCAGGCTTAATATTCAGGATTACTACTGTCCCTCCCTTCCCTCCCTTTCCTCCCTGCGATCCCTTCCCTACCTTCCCTGCTCTCTCTTCCCCACTTTCCCGCCCATTCCGTCACTTCCCTCCCTCACTCCGTAGCTCCGGAAGGGGCTATGCCGTTATACCCCATGCAGTCATTAACAAAATGAGGCCTAATTCCCACAGCGCGGGTGGCAACATATGTTTCTCCCAAGTTGCCAGACTCATAGATGTAGGAAGGCGCATGTGACAAGATGGGACAGTCATCGCGACCCACCCCTCGAGAAGCATCGAGAAGGCAGTAATGACTATGGAGAAGTCGCAAGTCCCCCTCCGCTTGGCTCATGTCTAGGTATCCGTCGCTGATGCAGACTGCAACTTTGAATTGCGGTCCGCCTTTGCTTGCATGCAGCCTCCTTGCACTTGGTGGATCGTCAGGGCTGAGAACCACTTGCCTCACTTGCATGCGAGGCTACATTTGGTCATTTTTGCTTGCTTGGGGAGTGCCGTGGCTGCCAAATCCGTGGCTTTCATCTTTTGGCTTCTTCTCTTGGAATCGAGGTGCGAATGCAGATCGTGCACAAGGATCCAAGTGTCACCGAACACATGATGTGTGCCGCCTGCATCAGCTTCCAGTGATCGGGCAGAGCTGATATGCGTTGCCATCGTTAAAACCGAAGACCTGTTACGGGCAGTTTTCATCGCCTTCTGCAGCCCTGGAGGCAAGGTGTGGTCGATCTGAGGGCGAACTCTGTCCAGGCCCTGGAGGAGGGCTTTCAAACCTTCCAGGCCATGCAATGCGGTGCCTTGGCGAACACAGAGTTCTGTCATGTTCCGACTGGCACCTGCCTCTCAGAACGAAACCTGCTTTAGCAGAGATACAGCAGCGGGGCTGACAAAAGCAGCCTCACGTCAGCTAACCACTGCTCAGCCCGAATGCCTGTCTTTCTCCACATGGATGTGCTGCCGTATTCACAGGATCTCTCACAGATCAAAAAGTTGATGATTTCTGCAAACCAGATCAGAAAAACAGATCAGAAAACCAGATCAGACTCTGCAGTGCCTCGTCTTCTCCGTAATGCTGTGTATGCTGAAGGTGCGTGCTGTGGCACTGTGGACACAGACACTTCTGACTCGTCCACGTCGGAGTGGGACGGGGACAGCGATGTTACTAATTCAACAAGTGCATGGCCACACCATTGCATTTGGCTTCTTACGGTTCTTGTTCCAGTTTGATGATTCGTTCTTGGGATACCGCTTTTCCGCGATAATCTGTAACGTGGAGAATACTGACGGTCTTTGCCGAGCTGTTGTTGGTTTGAACGAGTTGTGCAGCGACGTCCACACCGGCATGTGTTCACCTTTGGAGGGCCGTGTGCATCTGAGGTGAGGTCATTTGCTTTGACCTGCTATGTCCGAGACATGCGCTCTGGCATAGCTACCTCGTGCCCTGCACGTGCATGGCAACCTGTCCGCTTGAAAAGTGGGCCGGCAGCATTGTAAGCAGGACATTGCAGAGGGCTTGCCCCAGGCAGGGCGGAGAAGAGACGACTATCCGAGACTGGAAGATCTCGACACTTCATGTTACGAGTACACACAGACGTCTCGCCTCCTTGTCCAGAGCATTCTTCAGGTCGCCGGCCTTTGAACATATGTACAGAGTTGCAAGCTGCAGCTGCTTTTGCGCTTCCATAGGTGGAGGCTATGCTCCGTCAAGGGGAACACTCTGGCATGTCCGAAAGACTGTCTGCCAGGAGGCACAAGGTCATCAAACCGGTGCTTTGTTTCAAGAGGTCAGGCAGTGGCGTCTTGTGCCGATGTCTTGAGAGGTCCTTTGCTGCATGTTTCGGCTTCTCTCGTGGTCCCGTGCCCAGCTGGGCCCATGCCCAGGCTCTGAAGCCCAGAGAAGCTGCTGCGAGCCGAGGCTGCGGTGATTTGCACCACCTGCCACATGCCCTGAGCTGAGCTCTAAGAGCCACAGCTGGGCTCCGAGAGGGTCCCTAAGAGATGAGGCCTTTTGATGTGGTCCTGGTCGTGTACTTCGCTCAGCTGCGGGCTGAGGGCTGCAGCTGCTGCAGGATTCTTCAAGCACCTTCAGGTATCAAAGTGCACAGAGCCTCGGCTGCGACCGCCTTCGCTACATTCGGTCTGGCCCGCTGGCTTGCGCAAATGCGCTGCTGCGAGAGCCAGGAGCCAAGCCGACAGACAAAGGCGCAGACTCCGCAGACTTCGCAGTTCGACATCGGTTCGTTTCTTGTCAGGTCCGGACCCCAAGTCTTTTTTCGCGGGTGGACACCTGCCTTCGTGCGCCTGGCTCCAGTGCCCGAGCCCCGGGCCCCGGGCCCCGAACCTCATGTGGGATGGGCTGCCTTGCTGCCTTGCTGAAATCCGTAGTGCCTGAAGGTGTGTCTTTTCCTTCTGGCTCTACGAACAGCTCCGGCGTCTGGTCGGCATCGGTTACTTGGACTGATAGAGTTGAAAAAGTGGCGTGCAGTCACGGTTCTGGCGTATGTGATGTGGCTTAAGCTATTGACTATTGAGCTTCATCGCGAGAACTGGGGTAGAATTGTGTGGAATCCTTGACTGCCTGTTCATGTCCGTTTGAATGTAGGCATGAAGGCCCAGAGCCAGCTGTAAAGATCATCACTTTTTGCATGCACAAGTCATAGCGCGGTAAAGATGCATCCAACTTTGTACAACACTTGCTCTTTCGTGCGGAAATAAGCCTTGATCGTTCATGGTTTCCCTTTCGAAGCTCTGCGGTTGATCGAGCACTCCGCTGCAGTCGGTTATCTTCAGGTTATGAGCGCCCAAGGTGGAACACAAGATTCAGATCAGCGCGCTGCTTCGGAAGGAGAAACGCAAGGCCCGAACTACGGCCGTTTGCTTCAGGCCTCTGTGTTGGTCAATGGAACGAATCCTGGTGAGCATCGTCAGTCAAGAAAGGACGACGGAGCTATATGGAGCTACTGGGGTTCTTGGTCAGACAGGTGAGCAAGGCCTCCAATCGACAAGCCCCATGGCAAGCGAAACCGGACTTGGCGCGACTACGTACGGCTCAGCTGGAGAGACTAACGTAAGGGGCATAGCTAGGAGTTCTGGGATAGATAGGGGTGGTTTGCAACAACAGACAACACAACAACAGCAGCCGCGGCCACCTACAGTACCTCTTCGGTCCCAGTTCAAGCATCGACCCAGCAGCAGCCCTCACAACCTATCTCTTCGGTGCCAGCCACACCGTCCACTCAGCAGCAGCCGTCGTTGCAGTTCATCCTGATCAACCTCAAGAACAACAACCTCGAACTGCGTGTTCGTTGCCTTCTGTACCACAGGGGGACCATCACTGGGATCGATGGTGCCAGTGGACCCTAGCGCCAGACCGGCTCTGAGACTATCTGCCCCCAGGCGACAGGTGAACCCGAAGTCCACGGCATTCCTTCAAAGCGGATTCGAGGAAAGGTCAGCGCCATGGCGATGGATCCTTTGACACCGCTGGGCAGATTGAGGAGATGGCCACAGAGTTTGACCTTGATGAAATCTATGACGAAGACACGGTTCTCAGGGTTTCGAGCTGCTTGAGCAGACCAGATAGCAGGGTTCCCAGGCTGTGCTACGCAAGGCCCGAACTCAATCAACATCCTGGTCTACTGGTACGTTCACACATGGTGGCGTTGCAGGTTTGCGAAGGAACACTGTGACTCTGGCGATGCCAGCGACTACCGCATTCTTGGTCAAGGCGGCCAAGGAGCTTACGGGCCAAGGCGAGTTTGGAGCGGTGGCTCTGACAAGGGGAGCTCAACACAGGCTTCACCTAGATTCACACAATGACTCAATGAGTTGGAGTCGAAGAACACAGTCGTTGCCTTAACGGGCTTCCTTGGAGGTCGCTGTGGATCGAGGAAGATCAGCGAGCGCTTTGGCGAGAAGTTCGTCCTGGCAAATGGGTGCAAATAAATCTTCATGATTTGATTTCCAGCAGAGCCCCTGGTTTTCAATCCTCGGAAATGGCATGTGATTCCAAGGAAACCACGTGGTAATGATGACCTACAAGCTCACTTCCACGGATCGTCGTCGACTCTGGGATCTTGGTTTCAACATACCTGACAACAGTCGTGATGTTCAAGGGGGAACTCCCTGAGCCAATGGTCGCGGTACGCCAGCAGTATGTGTTGGATGAAGACAGCGCTCTGGAGAGTTTCCGGTCCGGAGGAGGATGTTGCGTTGGATGGAGCGCTGCTGACAACGAGTGAGCCACTACAACAACTCGTTGATGAGATGCTGGGCAAACCAACTTGGCTTCTTGCAAGACTTACTCGAGGAAGAGGAAGAGCGAATAAAAGGTTTCCAGCAAGCTCAACAAGGTTGTTTGGAGTGCACCAAACAGATCCACGGTGAGATCATGATGGTGATGCACGCCATGAACAAGAGGATTGAGTGGGAGCAGCAGTCTAGAGTTAGAGATGAACGTTTCTTCTTGAGGACTGTCAGTGCGGAGCACGACCACCAGGACTACGAGCAGCTGCTGGAGCAGCTAACGGGTGACTTGGCAGTTACTCACACCGTCCCGCTTCAGCAGGTCAAGCCGGTGCCAGACAGATGGTGCGATCGCCATAGAAAAGGAGCTGGCCAGCCTTGTCGAGACGGGAGCCTTGAAGAGGATCAAGATGTCTGAGGCGAGGCGCATGGAGTCCCAGGGCTTGCTTCGCTTGGTCCCGAGCAAGGGCGCCCACACACTCAAACCTCCGCTTTATGCCGGTGGAGCCGAAACCCTTCGGACATTGCTGGCATTGACGGCAAGGTTTGGGTGGAAGGGAGCTAGCCGCTACTACAGACATAACCGCAGCATTCCTCCAGGCGTATTGGCCCCCAGAGAAGCCAATTTATGCGGCTCTACCACCACGGCTACCTCAAGAACTGCAGTACACGAGCGATGAAGAATCATGGTTAGTGTTGCGTCCACTATATATGGACTTCGAGAAAGTCCGTCGATCTGGGCCTCGCATCGAAATTAGAAGCTGAGGACGTCGAAGCTACTGTTGGAGCACGGCTAGTTGGAGCTACAACAGTCCAAAACGGACTCCGAGTTGTGGTTTGTCATTCACAAGTTCGGCGAGGAGGGGAGCACCGAGAACCTCGTGTCCCTCGCCGACTCGTCGTGACTTACGTATAATGACAATTTCTACATTGGACCAGAAAGGATTGTGAGGTTGCTTCATGGCTGGGTTTCAGCCGAATGGCCGTGTTCGGAGCAGCAACGGGCATCGGCCGCAGAGGGGATTCGCTACCTTGGTATGCAAACTTTTCAGCGAGAGTCTGGAGAGTTCGAGGTGAAGCAAACTGGATACATTCTGGATTTGGTTCGAGCTCATGATCTACACAAGCTCCTCAGACCCTCTTGCCGTGTCCGAAGGAATGCGCCACAGACGATGCGGACCAAGAGCCTGAAAGCTTTCAGGACGCCGACCTTCGACTAGCCGAGCGCTTGGTCGGAGAAAAGCTCTGGCTAGCAATTAGATGTCGTCCAGACATGCACGACATCGTCAGCTATATGTCAAGCTGGGTAAGCAGACATCCGTTGAGAATTGCCCGTATCGCGTTCCGAGTTCTCTCTTTCTTTCGCAAGACGGCTGAGATGAAGATGATCTTGGGTTAGCCCGTTCAGACCTCAACGAGACCGCCAAGGACGCCCTAGCAAGCAGCACCAATAGCATCAGCAGCGAGCAGAGCAGCAACATCGGTGGGCTGAAGGGAACAGGTCTTAAAGCAGTGGGTTTCGCAGACACTGGTTTCGCTGCTTACGGAAGTCGCTCCTACGGAGCATCGTTGATCACTGTTGAAGATTCAGCTTGGCGATGTGGACAGGGATGCGTCATGCTTTCGATCATGGAGTCCGAACTCTACCAGGTGAGCTATTGTCCATGCGAGGACAGCGTGTGCTGCGCGTGGACAACACAGCGGCGGTCGCCCTCAGGTACCTGGATCATGGCGTACGAGGCGCTTGAAAGGTCGGTCAGAGTACTTGCTGGAGCGAGTGAAAAACAACCCCTTGGACATCATGCAGTGGATGAGGTCAGCCAGAAGGGGGACCTTTCGACCAAGGTTCATTCGAAGCATCGCTTGTATACCCATCTGAAGATGTTGCGGTTTGATGCGCTGCCTACGGAAGCAGAAGCTTTGACTGTGGCCCGGATGGTGGCAACTTTAAGCCTTAAGCTCTGTCAAGGCTTTTGAGGGCTTTCCGCAGGCTACAGCGATGTCTACGATGGAGTCTGCTTCAGTGAAAGCGGCTGGATTGGACGAGCTAGCTTTGGGAACTACTGGAAAGTTTGGGGCGTTGGTGCTGGAGCTGTTTGTGCAAACAGTCAAAGGGGCAGAAGGCCAGAAGGCTTCGGGCAGCGGCTGAGGCTGAGGTGGACCGGGCGTTCACTTCAGAACCAGCTTCCTCCAGCTCTGTGGCCAGTCCCCTTCGAGTGCTAACTGGTTCCCTTCGTCCCTATCTGCACACACGAGGTCCATCACAACTCAGACTGGGGACTAGGAGAGGACTTCGTTTGACCCTCCGGTAATGACTCCACCGAGGCAGATTTTTCAAGTTGTTCCGGGAGACCACGAATATGTGCTGTATGACGACAGGTCTGGACATCGGGATACAATCCACACGTCGGGACACTTCCATGGTTTCAGGCTGGCAACGCACCCGATCATCCAACAGCGCTTGTGCAATTTCTGTAGCAGGCGGGACACGATTTATCATGATTTATCAAAGACGTGAAAGACCTGGAACAACCAGACGAACTTTACGCTTTGTGAACACCGGTTGATCATGAACGAGCTCGTGTCTCAGCTAGTGGAAGTTTCTGCTGGCTGAAAGTGACATCTGCAAGAAGCGAAGTTGTGGAGCAGCTTCAGGGCACAAGGCCGAAACAACCCACGAATCCGCGCTTGTGGCAGTCTCTTGAAGCAAAGCTGCCAAGGAGGAGTGTGGAATCTTGGACTGCCTGTTCATGTCCGTTTGAATGTAGGCATGAAGGCTCAGAGTAAGCTGTAAAGATCCTCATTTTAAGCGCGGTAAAGATGCATCCAACTTTGTACAACAAGTGCTCTTTCGTGCGGAAATAAGCCTTGATCGTTCATGGTTTCCGTTTCGAAGCATTGCTATTGATCGAGCACTCCGCTGCTATCGTAGATCTTCAACTTGCACTACCGGAGGTGCTTGCAGCTTCGCAGTGGTTCACTGTGGGATCTCGGTTCGAAGGCTTCGACAAGTTGATCGTATCGGTATGTAGTGGCGAGGGTCCAGGTTGTCTTGTCAATGCCCGCACGTGGACAGGACATGGATTGACATCCGGAGGCACTACGGAAACGTGTGGTATCTTGTGGAATAGACTAGCTGTGCACTTCGACTTTCTTGCAGATTGTCTGTAGCGGTTGCCTTCCGTCCACACGACGCCATGGAAGCATTGCTGGGAACAACGCTGTTGCATGGAACGGCGCAGGTGGCGACTTCGTCACTGCAAGGAGGGGTCGTAGCCCTCTACTTCTCCGCTGGATGGTGCCCTCCGTGCAAAGGGTTCACTCCTCAATTCCGCAAAGTGTACGAGCACGCAAAATCGAAGAATCGGGCCTTCGACGTCGTTTTTGTATCCGGTGATCGTGACGAGACCTCTTTCCGGGAGTACTTCGGCAAAATGCCGTGGCATGCATTGCCCTTTGCGGACCGCCAACGTCAACAGCAGCTCTCTGCAAAGTTCGGTATCCGTGGAATTCCTTCGGTTGTCCTGCTCAGTTCGTCTGGGCAGCTTTTGGATGCCAGCGCGCGAGGCAAGGTGATGGAGTCGGGGTTCGTCCTGTCCCTGCCACGCTGCATCGACTTGGCGTCGGCGGCGCTGTCTGAACCGTCGGGCGCCGTACAATTGCAGCTGCGATACAAAGGCTGCGAGTATGACATCGAATGTGAGCCCAGAGACTTGGACTCGATCGACTCACTGTAGTCGTGGTCCCTTAGCTAGCTCCTACAGGAATAAATGCAAATCAAGTTTGCCGTTTGTGGATTCCCAACATGCCAGGTGAAGGCTGGGAAATGCTGCGCATGCAGATCTACTCCATGATTGACGTGCCATCCGAGCAGCTGAAGCTGTTTGGGCTGGGACTTGATAAAGGCCGGCACAAGCGAGAGAGCACAGATTCCTGCTCGCAGCTGTAAGCCAAAAACATCCCAAAACGAAGTCTCTCAGCTTGCGTTTCGACACCATGGTTGACGGGTCCCGTGGCTCAGAGTCTCAGCTCTCGGGGTTGCAATCTCAAGCCGCAGGATTTTGTCTTGGACTGTGCAGCTAGTTGTGGGGTCTTAGGGTATGCTTCTAGGAGGCATGCAGATACATGTTCCACAGACCACCCACTCATTCTGGGCATCTGTTTTCTGCATGGGCGGCTAACTTTTTGGTTTTGGTGCTCCGATCGATGACCCGCGTCTTTCGGCTGCTGTTCGAAGTGGGTTGAGTGGGTCTCTGCAGTCGAAGCGTCGAGTGCAGCGAGAACTTTATTTCTCGGGCGACATCCAAGTTCATCTTGCCGAATGGCTTGCGGAGAGTTGGATCCGGAGGGTTGTCCTTCCATCAAATCCGTTTGTAGGCTCTTATCAGTGTCACGGCAGGGCCCAGTCGAGCTTGCAAGCACGTGACACGGGAGGCGAAGGTTCGTTTTGCGACTGGCGAGGCAGAAGTCGAATGTGAGTCTAGTGGCTTGGCCTGCCGCGGCCAGAGACCACAGATGAAAGACTTGCTTTTTGAGCTTGGTTCAGGGCGAAACATGTTCCCGATTGGAGTTCATTACTCATGCGTGAAGGTTTCCCGTTTCGTGTGCTCCTAGGTCCTAGCATTCACGGCCCAAGAAGGGTTCAAGGATGTGGCTCAAGGGTAGTTTCGAATCTCCGAATCTTCGGGTTTGACGTTCCGGGAGTATACTTCGCGAGTCGGCAGGCACTTTTCGAGTTTTAGAGTCTGAGGATAAAAGGCTCGGTGTAGAAGTGTTGAATGCGACACTTAGTTTTGGGAGTTTGGGAAGAGGAGCATAGAGGTCAGGGTCCACCGTTCAGTGGTTCGAACGTTTTTGCGGCCGCAGGGGTTATATGGTGCCGAGCTTGCATCCTTTCCGCCGTCATCTGCCATCCAGTGCGCAGATTGCTCGGGATTGGAAGAAAGCATCAGACCGTGTCCTCGTGCATGATCTACATGGGTGTTGCAGCAGAATCACTTCCAGTCGCAAGTTCCGATCCATCGTTTGCATGCCAGAATGTACTCCAGCGAAAGAGCAGTTATGCTGCAGGCAGACTGATTCGACAGAGACAATAGAATCTAGATAGGATTGGCCTGTGATGACCCTGAAGGTCAACTGGATGAGTCCATCTCTCTACCGCAGGCCTTGGCGAGGGGCATTGCGGCCCAGAAGAATTCAGGTCTCCAACTGGCCAAGGCGGAACTCAAACCCATCGGGTGTCAGTTGAGTGTCATAGCCACTCCTCGCAGCATTGAAACACAGCCCTACTGTATCGCCGTATCGCCCCTGTCCCTCCGTTGGCAGCTCCTGGAGGTGCCATTGGAAGGAAGACGAGCCTCCTCGAGTCACGATGACGACAAGCCAGGGCAAAGGCATCACACAGGATGCTTGGATCAGAGGGCTGTGTGGGAAAAGGTGGCTGCTGAAATGTGCATGGCGACATGTGTCTTGAGCAGAGGAACCTTGGACTCAGCCAGCGCTTGGTGTTCCAAGCGCGATGACTGCAGCCCCTGGTACCAACTGGACCTAGGGGAGGTCGGAAATGTTGCGGGAGTGGTTTTGGCCTCGCGCGCGGGCCTCGGTGCTTGCTGTATGCTGCTACGATCTTTCGAACGGGATCTGGGCAGCTTCGTTTCGTTGATGTGCCTGAGGCGCGGATTGTGGCCAATGGGTCACAAGGCTGGCACGTGCGGCGTATTGGTGTCTTGTGTGCTCGGTCGTTTCGTCGAGAGCTTTGCAGGTTCCGGGTTGAGCTGGCCGATTCTGAGGACCAAGGCTTGAAAACCTTGGTGCAGCGTAATCTGGGCTGTCGCAGGATGGACCCTGGACTTCGGCTGACGATGGCAGGGAGTTCGATGGGTCGAGTACTCGGATCTCACGGCCGTGAAGCTGGGAACATCTGGGAAGAGGCACCTTCTTCTTGTCTGTTCCGAGGCCAGGCTACGCACTCCCCGTGCGTGCGGTCTTTCAAAACGGCACGTGGCCAAGGGGTGAAATGTCCAGCGCCTCCTGCATGATCGACTGTCACGGCTAGTGTCGCGCATGCTGCTACTTGCCGTGATCCTGACGAGCAGCTTATTCCCGATATGGTAGTCAATGCCGTGGCAGCTGCAGGCTCACAGCTTGCCCGCTTCGTTCGAATACTGCCACTAAGTTCCCGTCTCAGGCTCATCTCAGGCTCTCTGCCGGGTTTACGTTCACGCCGCAGCAGAGATAAGCGCACAGAGGTCACCGGAACCATTGCTCTCTCCGCGCAGATTTGCTGCTGGAGCGGGGAAGGGCTCAAAGAGCTGAGTGTCGAGTGGTCCGATCCTACAAACTGGTATCGTCACGGTATCATCTCAGTGTGAGCGGCAGCGAATGCAGGCTACAGGAGAACCGGACAAGCCGCCTGTAATTGCCTCTTGGTTACTTGTTGGACCGTTGCGATCTGGAGTCTGGAGGGCGAGGCGAAAGCCTTTTACTCCGTCCTGCAAGGTCGCCCTGGGAAACTTCAGTGAGGGAGACCCCTTCGAATCTGAGACGCCCGAGGCCGCGAGTTCGTCCTTCGTGACTCATGAAACAGGGGAGAGACATGAGGTGCCAATGGACGCCATGATGGAGGAGCAGCACCTGGTCCTGGGCTCGATGGCCGAAGACATGAAGACAATGAAGACATGAGTGGAGATAGTGTCCTCCGGAGGCGATGTTGCAGGCCAAGCTGAGCTCGCTGCCACCCAAACTCCAAAATCAGGCCTTCAGCCACAGATCTTGCCGGTCGCCCGATGTCGAAGCAGCGAGTAGCGAGCAGGTCGGATCCCTGGCCACAGTGCAGGGATATGAGATGAAGCCGCTACAGCGACAGGTGCATCCTGGCCCCATGCTGCATTGATCTTCAATGCGACAAATGCGACATAATGCGACTGCTCGTGCTTGCAGCAGCTTGCAGCATGCTCCATAATGTGAGCCGGTGCGCTTCGGGAGGCGCTGGACGAGATTCCTGTCCTTGCCCTCGATGCCGCCGTGGATCCAAGCGAGAGTCTGGACCTTGACACTGCCTGCAGACCGTGGCAGCGCGAGCCCGAGTTCAGGCTACGAGATCTCCTTCATGAGGATGTGCAGAGCTTAAATCAGCCCATACTTGATGACCTCTGCGAAGGTTTCCCATGACCGGAGATGGTTTCTTCTGACGCGAAGTTCACAGACATTCACAGCCCACATAGGCGTGTGACATCACTAGAATGGCAACCAACCCTTGTGCTGTGCCTTTGACAGTAAGTCCCAGAGACCCTAAACAAATCCTTAAGCACAGATCCTATGGCTCTCTGCTGCAGCGAGTCACTTTACCGATGTTGGACGGAACAGGTTGAGCAGAGCGAGCTTGGGGGACCGATTTGGCACATGTCACACATGCACAAGCACTCGATGTTCTTCCGCAGCTGTGAGCCTGTAGACACTCCAGCTGTCATGGTTGTAGACTCCGCATCCTATCATATGCAGACTACTCGGTTGCTGGACCTGTCGGACTTCTCTGACTCCTGTTATTTCAGCGCAAACTTGAGCAATGCAGTTCCGTCGATCGAGGGCAGCGTTTGCAACGTTGGCCTTCGTTTTCGGCGGTGCCATCGGCGCCAACTTTGCATCTGTGTCAGAGGATGGCTCGATGCTTAGGCTCGGCCCCGCAAAAGAATGACGCAAGGAAGCATGTGTGTCTCTGTGTGTGTGTGTGTGCGTGCATGCAGCCGTGTGTTCGACTTGTGAAATCTTGTGAACGTGTGTACGTCGTTTCAGGCAATTCGCCGGAATTCGATTCGGATCGCGATCAGCAATGAAGACGCGAATGCAGGATTTTGCGAGGCAAGCCGACAGTGTGCAGTGCCAGCTTCGTCATGGATCTAGCATTGTAGTGCCTTTCTGTTCCGATTGTTCCCGCCTCTCATGCCTCTTTGGAGAAGCCAAAGAGCAACCAGCGAGGCAAGAGCTCCTCTTTCAGTATCACAGTCCGCCGTCTGCCTTCCCATCGGACAAGACGAAGCCTCAGTGTGCATATCTTGTAGGTTCACGTGGGTGGCTCTCTTGTGTCTGCCTTGTCAGCGAAGCTGGGAAGCATTTGCAAGCCAAGCTCTTAAGGCTCCGCAGTGGTGCTGCTTGTGCTCTGCTGGTAGTGGGAGGCCTTGTTTCGAGATGAAGCTCCTAGTGGATCGAAGTGGACGCTCTGCCGTAGCACAAATCCTGTGACAATGAAGTTGTGCACCTGGAGCCAGTTCGGAATATGAGTTTATTAATATGGAGCTTTGCCGGCAACATGGACGAACTGCGACCAGGTCTGTGGCTTCTGCGTGTCTCCTTGCAGCACTCTTGAAGCCTCACTGGATGGTTTCAGGGTTAACATCGTTGGAACATCTTGTTTTGGTAGGAGTGGTGCATCTCAGATTCATCTCTTCTGAAGGTCTGAAGGCTTTGCTGTTGAACACTTGTGTGCATATGAGGGGCCGGCTACACAGGCAGGTGTTGATTTGTCTCGGCACTGCGCTCACACTCGCCATGCGAAGCGATGGTGTTGCATCTGGAAAATCCAGTCATGATGTCGCTTGACATGATGTACATCTGAGGTTGCCACAGGCCGGCGTTTGCGGCTGGAAGTCTTTTCGACGCGGCAGTCAGAATGTGTGATGCGCGAATATGAAGTCTCCGCTGAAGATGATGTTGCTACTGTTGTTGTTGTTGTCGTCGTTGGTAGCTCGCGCGTTTGCCGCCGCGAAGGGTGGAGCAATTCCAGGACATGGCGCCGTCTGGACAAAATTGCGCTTTGCAGTTCGTATCGGTTTCAGGGCTGCAGTGTGCCAAGACTCGACTTTTTGCACACGGCAGTTTGGACTTCTGTGGGTATTTACGCTGATCGGTGGCTTCTCCGTTTAAGTTTTTTGCTTGGGAGTCGCCTGCTTTCCTCTTTAAAATTTGCTGTGTCTGTGTTTCTTGTTGCTTCCGTGCAGAGGAGGGGGGTATGGGGGGGTGATGACGTCCATGCCAATGCAGCTTACATCTAGTGTTTCGCTTTTTGCTCCGTGCACAGGTGGGAGGGGGGCCGGATGGGGGGAAGATGACGTCCATGCTAATGCGGCTCGCATGTAATGTTTTTCTTTTTGCTTCCGAGTAGAGTGTAGGGGTGCGGGGGATGGGGGAGGGATTATGACGTCCATGCCAATGCGAATTACATTGGCTTACACGTAGTTACACCGTGGTGTTTTGGTTTTTGCTTCCGGAGGATAACGATGGCGATGACGATAACTATGTTGATAATGATGCCAATGACAATGTTGCTCCCTGTTGCTGCCGCTTTCATGTTAGTTGTCAGACGCTCCCCATACAAAAGTCTCGCGTTCCATGGGCTCTCCAAACAAAAACTATAAAAAAAAAACACACGCATGCAAAACACAAGCAAGACAAACAACGAAAGCCACGATCTTATGAAGCTTCAATAGTTGCTTCCGCAAAAACACAAAAAATAAAAATAAAGTGGAGCCAAGAAGGCGCAAGGCAGCCTCTTATTCACCGCACCAAACTGGAGGTTTTCCGGATTCTTGAGAACAATCGTCAACACGTGAACGACACACCCTTCGCGGCTTCAAACGTGCCGTCTACCTTGTGGTTCTGGTCGTGGTAGCCGCTACGGATCAGACGGGCAGGGCAGCTGGTGTGGCTTTCGAACGGGCCTGGGGGTTCCAACTGCGCTTGAGGCCCCCACGAGGCCTCTTTTTCAACCGTTTGGTGAGTTTGCCCCACTTTTGTGCCATGTGCCACCATCGCTGAGCCGGTCTGGTGCAGGCCTTGGTTGCGAATTAGGTGTGGCAAAGCCGACCAGCAACGCTTGCAAACGTACTCCGGGCTGCAGGGCGTGGACAAGCTGACCAGCCCCAACAATGATTTGATATGGACCGTGTTCTCGAAGTCGGTTGACGTGCTCGTTGGCGACATTGAGTGAGCTTCGAGTCTGACGCCGACTCCGCGGGGTTCTTGGTCGTCTTGTCGCAGCCCATCTTCCGTCGTCCCATACGCTCGGGCATCGCAAGGAGATGGAGCTGCAAGCCTTGATTTCCTGCCATTTTAATGCCTTGTCGGATTATATCCTCACTTTTCATGCTTTTGACGCCTGCAGCATCATCGTACTTCAGAGGCAAGCAAAAGCCAGGCCGCACGTGTCTTTACCCTGACGCGAAAACGCTTGCCTTGCAATTGCCGATCATCCACGCTTGGGGATGGGTTGCACCAATGTTGCACCATTCCCATGCTCCTCTTGCCTCTTGCCATCTCTTGCCCAAGTGCTGGAGCTGATCACCTACCGTCCAACGCCCAGGTCTCGATGCAGCGCGACACCGCTTTACTTCTCATCGCTGCCGGCTGGGACGGACCTAGTGTGCGACACCGCTAGTACGAGCCATCAGCTGACAGTTCGTGAGTATTGGGCGCAATGGCTTAAATTGGTGGTTGTGCAGCTCCATTCGTTGGAGTGCTTCTGACCACTGCATGTAAAGTTTTTTTGCGGACTTACCAAGGCCTGAGTAGCAAATTCTGGAGTCAGCACGAGCACCGTTCATGCTCACAAGAAGCATCGCTCGTCGAGTACATGCAAGACACCAACGGCCTGGTTTGATGTTCCTGATTCTTCTAGCTTTTTTTCCTGTTTCACCTTTGGCATCTTGTACAGCTGGTGCGGTATGTGATAAAAGGAAATACCGAAGTCGTATCGCATGTCAGCAGATCAGGACAAACCTTCGGGGAAGTGAAAACGCTAGGTCGTAACATTCCGCGGTGTAGTTGGTTCCTTGCCAAAGTCCCTTTAGTACCAAACTTTAGTACTGGAAACCACTCGTTTGGCGTCCGGGCTGGATTGTGCTTGCTTGTAGTACAACTTTAGTACTGGAAATGCCTCGTTTGGCGTCCGGGCTGGATTGTGCTTGGTAGCAGTACAACTTTAGTACTGGAAATGCCTCGTTTGGCGTCCGGGCTGGCTTGTGCTTGGTTGTAGTACAACTGTAGTACTGGAAATGCCTCGTTTGGCGTCCTGGCTGGATTGTGCTTGGTAGTAGTGCAACTTTAGTACTGGAAATGCCTCGTTTGGCGTCCGGGCTGGCTTGTGCTTGGTTGTAGTACAACTTTAGTACTGGAATTTCCTCGTTTGGCGTCCTGGCTGGATTGTGCTTGGTTGCAGTACAACTTTAGCACTGGAAGTGCCTCTTGTGGCTTCCCAGCCCACGGTTCGGTAGAAAGTTTCAGACGCCGTGTGTGGAAACCATGTTTTGTGTCAGGCGCGGTTATTTGGGGGAAACAGCAAATGTTATGACTTTTTTATCAGCACTGAACATGCGGAAGCGACGTTGCAGACTATTCAAACATCCCGCGGTTACATGGTGGAAAGCGATTTTGTTATGACTTCCGAAAATGAGTTCTAGAGCGCGGTTAGTTCGGGGAAGGCTCGCCCACCGTTGCTGTTATGACTTCGGTGTTTACCTGTATTTCGCCCGCTATTACGAGCCCTCTCGCTCCGAGCCCTCTCGCTCAGTGTGTTACAAAGCTGTTGTTGTAATTGTTGTTGTCGTTGCCGTCGTGGTCGTGGTCGTCGTCGTGTTGCCAGTGCTCGCACGTTCCTTTATCATACTGCTTCTTTGCACCTTTCCTGTTTTTGGTCTTTGTGCTCTCTTCATTCGTTTGGTGGTGGCGGTGTTGGTGTTGCTGCTGCAAGCTTTCTGCCAGCATTTTCGGGATGACCGACCCCAAGCGAATGCCATCCGTGGCCGAAGCATCAAGAGTAAGAGTGCAGAGCATCAAGAGCATGACATTAACGGCAGCAACAACGCGTCCGCTTCCGAGCACATCGTTTTGTGGATTGATTCCATTGATGGTGACATCCGACAGCATCCTCATGCATCCTCCATCAACGTGCAAATCCATGTCCGCAAAAACACGCCGAAACTGCCAGAATTCTTGAACTCGCACACCGGTGTTGCCACGTGTAGTATCTTAACTGATTCCGAGCTGTTGTCTCCTTCTGGTCACTAGAGCGTCATCAAATGTTCCCAGTAATGGCTCGGATGATTTGCCTTGTTGCCGGTGTTGCATTCTGAGGCAACCACTTGAAGGATGCGAGTTTGTCTGAGCAGGATCCTTGCTTGTGGCTGGCACAATGTTCTGGGTTTTGTTTGCTGGTGATCGTGCTGGGGGGAGCTGTTCTGCTGCCGTCGTTCCGTGTTGTTGTTTGTTGTTCGCGTTTTGCTGATAATCAGGTTTGTTGTGTTGACGCTGATGGCAACTTTGTAGGGTGAAGCTTGCACCTTTTAGACCAAGTTTGACCGAAGCCAGTCCTTGTTGGCCAGGCCATTTGGAGTTCTGGGCGGCATCCGTTGACTCCTTGCTGTCCCTGAAATCTGTGGCAGCAGGGTCGCCCTTGCTGGCGGCCGGCTGCGGAGCAGGCGGCCGGCCGATTGGGGCCGACTCGGCACGAGTGGGACGTGAAGTGGCAAAGTGACACGAGACTACTGTACCCGAGCTCTCTCGAGCGAGGTGCCGGCGCGCTTCACACTTTGTCGGGCCCCGACCACCTTGCAGCGCTGGCACCCCTTGCCCTTCGAGTGCGAAAGGGGCCAGGAGCAGCCTTTCGGACAGGCTCGAAACTCAAGATCCGAATGGCTCCGTGGGTATTCCGTATGTTGCGCGTACCCGGAAGTCGTGCAATGCCGTGAGGCATGTTTTGGGGCTCTGGCCATGTCGCTGGGCAGCTTCTCCTTGGGAACCTGGGTGGCAACTTAGGTGGTGCATGTGGCGGCGCTGAGCTGGGTTTCCAGAGGTCTGGCCTGCTTTTGCTGAGCCGCTCTCTTCCTCGATTTCAACTCGGGCTCGCCGGGCTCGCAGAGCAGCTGGCAAGCCTTGCAGTTGGCTTCGTGCTCATGACCGAATGCGCGTGGCCAAGACAGAAATTCTTGGGCATCTGAGATGCCGAATCCGAAGCGCCTGTTCTTCGCAGGACGATCGGTGCACTGGGCATCAAGGAATCACGAGAGACTTGCTTGCATGTCCGTACAGACACAATGAGCGTTGTGGAGTGGTGCACTGTTGCTGGGGTTGAGGAAGCTGTATGAGGTTTGTTGATCGAAGCCGATCGAGATAACAAACCATGAAGCATTACCTGCTAGCTTGCGGAGCGTGTTGGTGAGGACTGGGACGAAGACCAGAATCAAAGGAGCGTGCAGACCAGTTTCAGCTGGAAGACTTTCGGAACAGGAATGCTTTCTGGAATGCGACTCGGCTCAAGATCATAAAGGCTCCAAGAGTTTCTAGTTCTAGTCATACTGGTGTGGCTTCCTCCTTCAGAAAATTCCTGATATTATGTCAGTACGATTCGGATGCCATCTGGGGATACGATCGGTATATCGGGTCATCCTTCAGATGTACTAGTAGGAACCGGTACCGGTTTTAGCTACCTTATGGATACACCTCGGAGCCCGAAGAGGTCCTCAAGCCTGGTTTGCAGGTAAGACACGGGTTTGGATACGATTTCCCTCCCCAGCCTGAGGGGTCCGAGCCTCTTCTGTGGTCCTCCCCAAGAGAAAATACGGGTTTCGACACGAGTGGGTTTGGATACGATTTGGATCTGATTTTTTATGCCCAGCGCTTGAGACACGATTTGGATACGATTTCCTTACCCAGCTCACGAGATCCAGGTAGAGAGGTCCGGAAGCCACGATTTTGGATTCGACCCAGCTTGCGGTCCGCAGCCGGGTTCGGAGATGTGAAAAGGGCTCCGGGGTAGGGTTCCGGATACTCTCCGGATATGGGTCCGGATACGAGGTTGGATATGGTTCCTGCCAGGGTTCCACCGGTTTACTACTCCTGCGGACACGGGACAGATTCCCAATCCCTTGGCACAGCAGTCCTTGATCCCTGCATCGCTTCGCCTAGCCCAGAATGGCGGCTGTAGTCTCGGATGCTGCTTAGCCCCTGTTTCGCACCCTGGCCGAAACCGGAAACCGTGTTGGAATCCGAAAGCGTATTGGAAACACCTATCGAAATCGTATTGAGTTCTGCGAGCACCAGAGAGAGCGAGCAACATGTGAGCTTTTAATGTGTGTTCCGAAGGGCACGGGGCTCGAGACCGAGCTAGCAGCTGCGGCAGAAAAGAAAGGGCGTTGCGAGCCTTTTTCGTGCAGTGGCATCTGCGAGCCACTTTCATGGCAGCGGAGCTCACCTGGTGAATCCGGGGAGCTGCCGACCACTCCGCTCTGCGCTGCGTGCCCGAAATTCTTCGAGGCAGAGGTGCCTGATTGGTGGCTTCTGGCCTTGCTCTTTTACAAGCTTCGGCATTATCTCAAGGAGATCCGGCGGCCAGTCGCACGAGACCTTCTACACGATTCTCCGGAAGGTCTTCAGAAAGGCGACTGATGTCACATGCCGGGAAGGACAGCGAAGTGCCCTCGTGGAACGGGGACCCAGGAACGTTTGAAAGGTTTGCCACCGAATGCCGGTGGTACCAGCACTCTCTGAAGCCAACTGAGAAACCACTTGCGGCGCCACGCGTGTGGCACCGTTTGGTGGGCTCTGCAAAATCAGTGGTGCGCAACTTGGATCCGGCCGTCTACAGCACGTCAAATGGACTGGACAAGTTGCTGGACGTGTTGAGGCGCAGCCCCCTCCAGAGGCTGCCTGTGCCGGACACGTTCCAACGTCTGGAAGGGCTACACAAGAGGCAGGGTGAGACGATTCCTCAGTTGCTTGTGCGAGAAGAGGAGCTGTTCGTGGAACTGCAGCAGAGTCTCATTAGAGCCCGCGGCCTCAATGGCAAGGACACCAAGATCATCATTGCGGAGGATGCGGCCCCTGCCAGCTACGAGAGCGACCGCGAGGCTCCGGACGAGGACCCAAAGGAGGAGGAGAAAGAAGCCAGCTCACCGTCGCCCAAGGGTGCTCGGCCCGCTTCCGAGCCCTCTCCCACATCATCTACGAGGACTAAGACAACGAAGGCGACGAGTTCATCCCTTGGCTTCTTCGAGGACGAGCTTCGGGGCTATCGATTGCTGAAGGCATGCGGTCTTCAGCCTTCAGAAAGACAGCAAGTGCTTACCCTAACGGGCAACAGCACTACCTTCCAGTCGATCAGGCAGGCGCTTCGGGCCATGTACGACGAGGGGGTCACGACAGACCTCGGGTCCCGAAGACATCGCCCTTCCGCCTGGTGGTTGCATGGCGAAGAGGACAGCTACTACACTGGCGGTTCCTGGGACGACTGGGCTTGGGATGCTCCACAAGCCTCCGAGGATGCCTTTTGGTACGAGGACCCGTCTGGCTGGCCGGACGACCAACTGCCCGACGATTGGGCATACTATGCTCCAGCCGATGCAAACGGCCCGGGTGACGATCGGTCAGCAGACGTGCCACCTACCGAAGAAGAGAAAGCCTTGCTGGAGGACGAAGCCGAGGCCTTTGCCATTGCGGACGAAGCACAGAAGACCTTGGCCCAAGCCAGAGAAGCTGTGGCAAAGGCCCGTCAGGCTCGAGGCTACTATCCTCTGGGAGGCAAAGGATCTTCGGGAAGTGCTCCTCCGCGAGCGTTCGGGGCCAGGCCAAAAGGGAGCTCTGGAGGCAAGGGTCCCTCCAAAAGCTTTGGCAAGGGCGGTCCTTGTACCGCCTGTGGTCGCTTTGGCCACCGCTACTGGGAGTGCCGCGACCGCGGCTCTGGCAAGAAAGGTTTCGGCAAGAAGGGACCACCTCGCAAAGGCAAGGGCAAAGGATGGAAAGGCCCTGGAAAGGACACTGGCGGCGAGTACTACCAGAACGCTGGCGACGAGTACTACCAGACCGCCTCGGACGACTACTACCAGGAGTACTTCCAGGATGCCGGCTTTGCACATGCTTTCTTGCTTTCGGTGGTTCCCGAGAATCCGAGAACCGTGTCCATGCCTGTGCTCGGGGTTCTCGACAACTTTGTGCTGTCGGTTGGCTCTGAGACTTTGGGCGGCCGTTTGCGCCCAAGCCAGGTGATTGTGGACACTGGCGCGACAGAGTCAGCGTGTGGCATAAGGACGATGGAGAAGTTCTTGGAGTCTTCTGGGTGCCGGTATGATGTGTGCCTGAGTGATCGCCCGACCTTTCGGTTCGGAGATGGCCGGACACTTCAGGCCCTCTCCCGCATCGACATGTACACGCCGGCCCTGGGAACGATCTCTGTCTACACCTTGGATCACCCGAGCTCCTTGGACACACCTCTCCTCTTGGGAGGCCGAACCCTTCGACAGTTGAAAGCAACTGTGAACTACGGAGATGAGGTCCTGATGTTCCTTAGACGAGGAGGACAGCTCGCGTTTCTTCCTTTGGTCTCCACCATGGGAGGCCACATGATCGTCGACTTAGCATCTCGGAGCACGCCTCTGGGACCAGTTCAGGAATACCTGAAAAGCGAGCTGGGCATTGTTCTTCCTGATGACGATCGAATGGTGATGAGAACAATGATGACGCCTGGGTTCTCTGATGAGTGCCGACGCGGAACCGGGAAACATCTTCCCGGAACGGACGAGGATGACGCCTCACCGAATGTTGGGACGGCTTTGCAGTTGATCTCAAATGTGAGGGAAAAGGAGTGTTGTCAGCCAGAGAGTTGCGGATGCTGCCGAGTGTCATCACAGACATGTCCAACCATGTGTCATCAACATGAAAGTGAAGTTCGGTGCGCTTTCGCATTTCCTTTGTTTCGAGAAGAGAGCATGCCACGGGACGGAAACCACATCCATGACCGTCTCCGATCTCTCAGGCTCAAGATAGACCAGCTTCACGAGCGACACCATGAGCGACAACTTCGAGCTCCTACCCTCGCCGGTGGACGATCCCCGATGGGACGGTTGGCCATGCATGGGCCAGCACAAAGAAGGACCTCTGAGGTCCAACCAGCATGCGCGTTGGGAAACGTGCCCTCGGTGCGGGCTTCGAGTTCGTTACTGGACCAAGGGCAAGGCCAAGGGGACACGCCGGTCAGCCGGCCCATCTCGCGAGGTCCTGGCGACAGCGATCAGCCAGATCCGCATGGAGATGGAGGCCCAACAGGTCACCGAGAAGTTGATCGTGGACCGTTGTATGGAGATAACGGGTCGCATGCGCCAGGAAGGCCGATCGGTGGTTCTGTCGGAGAAGATGGTGAAGCACACCACGGATCCAGAGCCGAGACCTTCCACGACGACACGATTCCGCCCAACGACACCCACGGCGCCTTCTCAACGATCGGCTCCGACATGCGCGGCACGGAAGAGTTCAGGGTGCGCAGACAACGAGGCGCTGGCGAAGGCGACTCCAAAGAGGAGTATGATGAGGGCAAGGGCAGCCCCACTTACCTCGGCCGGGAGCGAGGAACGAGCTCCGATCGACCTGGAGGATCAGGAGGTGCAGGACAATTTGCAGGAGATCCTGGCTCTCGAGAAACGCCTCGAGAAGCAGAAGGAAGCCCTCCTGGACGAGATCAACCTCCGTGGTTTGATGGAACAAGAAGGCGACTTGGACAGTCCGATCGAGGAGTTCGAGGAGATTGCAGTGAAGAATCCCGCCGAGGCCAGTCACAAGGATCGAGGACTACCCGCTCCTCGGCGCTCTGGGCACGACTCGGAGCTTTGAAGGATAGAGTGAAGCGCACCTGGGAGAGTTTTGGTGGAGCTGGCGAGGAAGTCAGCATCACAGTTCCTCCTCCAGACCCTCCGAATGGCCAAGGAGGACACCGTGATGGAGGAAAAGTTCGTGTCTCCCGGGGCAACAAAGTATATGAGGCGGGTTCCGTTGGATCTTCCAATAGCCAGCGGTCTATAAATTCAAAGACGCGGAAGTCTTTGGTTGCAAGCAGTTTTCTTTTGGTTTCCGGAATACTTCAGGAGGCTGCCTCCTTGACGGCGGCAGTCGGATCGCCAACGGACTTTCTTCAAGTTGGTGGTCCTCCCTCTCTGTGCGCTGCGGTGAAGGACTTGGGCTATGAGTCCCGACGTATTCTTCCAGAAGAGTTCGTCAAGTCGAAGGACCGGATCGGGGACCAGGAGGTTCGGATCATGTGGGTCTCCCTTCCTCTGCGGGCGACTCTTCAGAGCACCCTTCCACGATCGCAGGTGTCTCCCAAGCAGCAGGTGAATCACGAAAGGGCCACCCGACGTGAGCGAGCACTCCTTCGAGAGTCTCTTGGGTGTGTGGCTCGACATCTTCAACAACGGAAGGACTTCGTTCTTGAGCTTCCTGCAAAGTTGAAGAGCTGCTGGGGCGAGGCAGAGTACTTGAAGGACCTGGCCGTGGAGAACGA